CTTCCGATGGGGCCCTACATCCTTTCACGTTAAAGACTTATCTTCTACCAGCTTTAGAGCCATTTAACTAAAAAGATGTTCTTATGTGTGTATAAATTTTATAGCAGTTTGATGCTGTTTGATGCCAGTATTATATTATTGTGGCAATGTGGCAGGATAAAATTGAAGTGAACTCAGTGAGGAGCATTTCTAAGTTGGATTTTGTGTACAATTTATATGTTACAAAAGATGTACCAAACTAGCTTTTGGTCATCTGAAAATATCTGATAAATTGTTATTAACAATTGATTAATGTCAGTTTGTTGATATCTGATAAATCGTTAAACTGTTAACAGTAGCTTTGTTAAAGCTTGTTTTTAACAGTTTTGCCACCTTGTAAACTAGTTTTTCTGATGTTGCTCTGTGCAATGTAATTTATAATTTCCTCAAAGTTAGTTACCAATTACCTGGACTGTTGCCTAGTCCACCTATTATTTTTTACTACTCTTAGAAACTATTTTATAAGAAAAACAGATACAAGGAAAATAACTCAATCTGTGACCAACCACAAGGTTTATGGCCTTTAGTGTGGCGGAGAGGGGGCATGGCTGTTTTTCATTAATACGTTATTACAGGCTTAGGAACTAGGCATGTCTCAGGCCCTTTTTATATTAGCAGAACATCAGTTCATATATTATACATTTAAACTTTCATTTTTAAAATCTTTTGCTTTAGGATCAAATATAAAATTGAGATTGACTAGAAGGGGGCATGAGGGAACTCGAATATAAGGAGGATGAAAATGTTCTTTATTTCGTTTAGCATATGTTGATTACATCAGCATATACATATTCCCCAAAGTCCTTCATATTATACACTCTTTTTTTTTGAATTTTATTTATTTTCTTATACAGCAGGTTCTTATTAGTCATCCATTTTATACACATCAGTGTATACATTGTCAGTCCCAATCGCCCAATTCATCCCACCACCACCACCACCCCCCGCCGCTTTCCCCCCTTGGTGTCCATACGTTTGTTCTCTACATCTTTTGTCTGTTTCTGCCCTGCAAACTGGTTCATCTGTACCATTTTTCTAGGTTCCACAAATATGCGTTAATATACAGCATTTGTTTTTCTCTTTCTGACTTTCTTCACTCTGCGTGACAGTCTCTAGGTCCATCCACGTCCCTACAAATGACCCAATATCGTTCCTTTTTATGGCTGAGTAATATTCCATTGTATATATGTGCCACGTCGTCTTTATCCATTCGTCTGTCGATGGGCATTTAGGTTGCTTCCATGACCTGGCTATTGTACATAGTGCTGCAGTGAACATTGGGGTACATGTGTCTTTTTGAATTATGGTTTTCTCTTGGTATATGCCCAGTAGTGGGATTGCTGGGTCATATGGTAATTCTATTTCTAGTTTTTTAAGGAACCTCCATACTGTCCTCCATAGTGGCTGTATCAGTTTACATTCCCAACCAACAGTGCAAGAGGGTTCCCTTTTTCTCCACACCCACTCCAGCATTTGCTGTTTGTAGATTTTCTGATGATGGCCATTTTGATGATGGTGGGAGGTGATACCTCATTGTGGTTTTGATTTGCATTTCTCTAAGATCTATACCATCTCACTGTATATAAATTATACCGTAGTTTAGAAAATAAATATGAATCAGGTCCTGTTACTCTTCTTGAGTGGGAGACTTTGGCGTGGTCACGTAACATCTCTTATTTAAAAAATGTATAAACGGTATAATTCTAAAGTGAATTTTACTGTAGATATTTTTCGTTTGTTATATATCAGTGTTATTCTGTAACTCCAATAGCAACTATAGAAAATTCTTTATTTCATTTTTATGTGTGTTATAAAGAATAAAAATTCATCAGTTTCCTACTGATAGCAGATGTGTCTTGTATGTACTCGACATATGGTGCCTTCACTGCTCCCCATCCCCAGTGATTTTTCATTGCACAGCTAACACTATTTTCTCATTTCAGGTTTACTATGCAAAAAAGAAGCGAAGACACCAGCAGGGCCAGGGAGACGATTCTAGTCATAAGAAGGAGCGGAAGGTTTACAATGATGGTTATGATGATGATAACTATGATTATATTGTAAAAAACGGAGAAAAGTGGATGGATCGTTACGAAATTGACTCCTTGATAGGCAAAGGTTCCTTTGGACAGGTAATTAATGGAAGATGCTGAATTTCATAAACTAGAAAGAACTTCTTAGTGAATCATGTTACTATATCCTTTTCTCAGTAGTACACTTTTAATATTTGTAAATAGATCTAAACAACAGATATGTAAGTATTTGGGTTGTTATAGTTTTTTCTAAAGGTAAGAAAACTGCATCAGCTATAAAAACTCCATTAGACTTTAAAAAAAAAAAAAAACTGGGCTTCCCTGGTGGCACAGTGGTTAAGAATCTGCCTGCCAATGCAAGGGACATGGGTTCGAGCCCTGGCCCGGGAAGATCCCACATGCCGTGGAGCAACTAAGCCCATGCGCCACAACTACTGAGCCTGAGCTCTAGAGCCTGCAAGCCACAACTACTGAAGCCTGTGTGCCTAGAGCCTGTGCTCCGCAACAAGAGAAGCCATGACAATGAGAAGCCCGCGCGCCGCAACGAAGAGTAGCCCCCGCTCGCCACAACTAGAGAAAGCCTGCGTGCAACAGTGAAGACCCAACGCAGCCAAAAATAAAAACAAACAAATTTAAGAAAAAAACAACTTTCTATAGCTATCAAGTAGTTATTTTACTAATACTAAGTGGTTGATTTTAGTCACTAATAGACAGTATTGCCTCTTTCATGTGGGGTTGTTAGTCTCTGGATGGTTCGTCGTTGTGTATGAGAGAGATAATTACCTTCCTGTCTGATACTCCTCGAAGAGAGCAAAATTACCATTTTCACCTGGCACAGCACGTGTCCTCTTCCTTCTTTGGAGACTTGGGACACCAGGGGCTGTGCCTAAGTTTGTCCTCGGCTCCTCTTCTAGCTCCATCAGGCCTCTAAGTGGGCAGAGGGTCTCCAGGGTCTCCTCTTAAGTCCTCACGGCATCAGCGTTGCTAATATTGTGATTGGCCTTGTTCCGATGTGTGGGGTCGTTCAGGCCGCTTCTACCCAGAAGAGTGAGGGAGGAACTCCAGTGAACCTGGTTTTTCTCTTCGTTCCTAGTCTCTTCTCTCCACCCACAGCTCTCTTCTCCTCACTTGCCCACCCTATCCCAATACAAAGCACAAACCCTAACTACATTAGCCTCTTACATCAGCTGTGCCCAGACTAAGAGTTGTCAGACCTTTCTCCTTGCACTTTTAAATAGCTTTTCTCTGGCTGTGGATCCCCCAGCTGTTCCCACGTGTAAATCTCCCTGTCTTATCTCATCAAGTCACAGAGCCTTTTTGTTTGAGGTATGATTTACTGTTAATCCCAGCCTCCTTTGCCTCATAGCTTTTGTGCGAGTCAGTTACTATAATAACTTCTAATCCAAATACTTCTTTTGACTTGGACAATATTTTGGATTTTGGAGGTTGGTTTTGGTTTGTCTAAAACTATGGAACCTGCATACACTCTTACTTACCTGTTCCTGCCCTGAGCGAAAGCAAAGTATGCCTCTTTTCAACCTGTGAGGAAAAATTCATCATGTGTCAGTCTGATCACGCTTAGGACAAAAAGTATACTACAGGCCATTAGCAGCTACAGCTCTAGACCCAGACAGATCAAGCTATTAAACCTATAGGGAAATATGAACAAGCTTCTTAGAAGACCCCTGACTCTGGTGTGGCTCTACCAGGCCCTGGTGTCCCATGTATAATACATTTGCCCCTGTCCATGATTTCACAGAATTTTTGTAATTATATGTAATTCAAGGCCTTTCCCCTTGATTTGTAACCTCTTCTTCTCCTGAGTCAGGGGATTCTCAGCGTGTGGGGAGTCCCTCTTTAAGAAAGGATTACTTTTTGTCAGAAGCAGCTTCTGCTTCTCTTTGAGAGCTTTTTAAGGAAAGGCATTTCTGAGGCCTCTACCTCTTAAGTAAGGCCGTGAACACCCTGGATAGAGTGAGTGTCATGTCCACCTTCAGAATTACACCAGTGTTTAGGCAGTTGCTCTCAACAGGACACTTTTGAAACTTCTGTGATGTCCACCACGAAAACTGTGGCTGTACAGCCTGTTCTCTAAACTTAGTTTCCCTTAAATACTCAGTCTTTGAGCTCACCGTGATCTTTCCCCCTCCCCTTTAATTTTCTCATACTCTGATTCCTAAGAGCAAGTCAGCATAGTAAATCTGTGAAAACAGAGGCCTATTTGACATCAAAATCCATTTTACCAGAGCAGACTGACTGATGCCTTTCTCCTAGGCTGAGGTGTGTTGAGGGTCAGGACCTGTCACTCACCAGATTAAGTCTTCCTTACCGACTTGGTCAGACGTCCTCTAAATCCTCTGCCAGATCCTTGTCAAAGAAGCGGCTCCTTCATTTCTTAAGCCAGTGGTCATCAATCCTGATTGCACTTTGAAAGTTTCCAGGGAGCTTTGGGGATTGGGGGTGGGGTGGGGAGGGGAGGATGGATACCTAGGTTCCAACCAATTAAATCAGAATCTCTGTGACTGGATTCTGGGCATGGGTATTTTTGAAAACACCCTACTGAATGTGTGATATTCAGGGTTGCAAATCATTGCTTTAGCATTGAGCAAGTTAACTATTTGCTAAGTCAGTAAATAGTTGAGTCCATGTTAGTGGCCTTTGTCCTGGAGACCGTTAGGATCTGGGCACTGAACTGCAACTCTTGGTACAGTCATTATGGTCAGTGAAACAGAAGAATATCAGAAGCACTTGGTCAGATGTTTACATGGGTCGCCTCTGATTTAAAAGACAATAGATAGTATTTTTTTAGAATTGGGTGAAACCAGAGATACTGCACATTTCATTCCAGGTTTGATTTCAGCTGAACGATTTATGATCTATGATTGACAGTAGCCTTGACTGATGTGATCTTGGACCATGTGTTCCATTCTCTTCCTCTAATCCAGGGGTACTCAGCCAACACATTGGAATCACTTGGAGTTCTACCTGCATCTCTGTACTTTCTGAATATGCTAGAAAATGTATCTAAAACTTATCTATTCAGACTATATGTAATATTATAAATATAATAATATTTAATCACTTATAGCAGTTTCTGATTTGTAGAGATACAGTTTTATCTGTGTATTTCCTAATTTTTGTATAAATTTATTAATAGTGTGAAACTTGTTTTAAATGAGTAAAATTTTAAATGAGAGGTGTGCATGGTGATTTAGACATGAATGTTTCAGTTTCCTTCTCATTTTAAAACTCAAAATCCGCTAATTATCGCATTTTAAACTTTTTTCCTGGTTATTTGTTTTTGATTTTTTTTTATTGAATAAGTGTAAACTAATTCTTCTGGTATATGCCTGAGTTTTTATCTGTGAAAATCTAAGTCACATTTAGAAAGTTATCTACAGTTTTCAGATGACTTAGAACGTTTTAAGTATCTCACACATATGCTTGGGATTTAAACCAGGTTTTTCTCTTACTAAAAGAATAGTTAGAAGAATTGTTTTATCATGTTATTTAGTAAGGTAAAAAACCCCAAAGCACTTGTCAAGATTCATAATTTATTTCTGAAGGAGGAAAAATAGTTAATCTGATTTTAAGAAAGTTATCTATTTTGTGGATGTTTAGAAATGCTGTAAGGATGCAGAAGAAATCCATTTGAAAAATGACTTAAAGTGACAAAGTAGTAAATGGGTGCTGTTGAATGGAAACGAATAGGATCTCTTTTAATTAGGAAGGTCAGAAAAAGGGGAATTAGATAAATGTACAATTAAGCTGAACTGTAAACTGTTGTTAAACTGTTCATTAATGAAATAGGTATCATCTGTCTTTTTTCTCTTTTAGGTTGTAAAGGCATATGATCGTGTGGAGCAGGAA